GCTGCAGCTTGTTAGATAATTTTAGATTGCAAAGGGCCAGGCCATTCATATGCAAAAGCCTCTGGGTACAGCTTGGGTGGGGAGGGGTATCAGGGAATCAACAGGGCAGAGAAAAAAGCTATGGCTGATCCTCAGCCCTGCCCTATAAGGCCCCTGCTCTCAGTGTCCCTTGGTAATTGCTGCAAGCACCTCTGAGAGAAAGCCACCTTCGAGTTCCGCCCGATGCCAGACAGTCCAGTTTCTCCCCGTATGAGTCTGGGTCCCCAGAGACTCACCCGGAACTGGAGTTCAGAGCAGTTGGGAGCTTGTGTGTCCCTCTTGATTGAAAAAGTCAACCGTGTCCTCAGTTGCCAGCCCTTTCTGCGCACCTCTGTACCTCTGCACTTTACTTCCGCACCTCCTCTGAGTCTCAGTGTGCTTTTCTCTTTCCTTCTAGTTGTAGAATTTCCACTCAGGCAGCCTTTCTGTGGTTCTGGATGATGTCTGTTTTGTCTTTTAGTTGTATTTTTGAAGTGGTTGTCTGAGGCAGCAATTTCAGGTGTTTACCTATGTCGCCATCTTGGTTTCTCCCTCCATTAAGTTTTATACTTCTAAATATCATGCACGTATTTTGTTATATTTACTTTTGGTATTTTATGTACTTGGTTTTTAAGAAAGTATACCATTTTCAGCTTGGTGCTCATTTATCTGTTTGAAATTGATTTTTGTACACTGATTTTGCAACCTTACCAAATTTTCATATTACTTCTAGTATTGTCTGCTGTATCTTTTGCCAAAAGTGATGTAAAATAAAAGCAGCTTTCTTTCTTTCTACTCTGTAGTCTCTTTTTCTTCTTAATCAGCATGTCTGGCCTTTAATACTATTTTAAAAAGAAGCAATACTGGTAGACAACCATTTTTGTTGATTTTATACATCATGCTTTAAGCATTTTACCAGTATAAGGATTGCTATCGTTTTCTGTAGCCACCTTTTACTAAGATAAAGGAATTCCACTGCATTTCTAACTTGCTCAGGTTGTCTGTCTTAAACGGATGTTGAATTTAATCATCAACTTTTCCTGAGAGACCCCTATCGTGCTTCTCCTCTCTATTAATGTGACAAATTATATTACTGGACTTTTCTATGCTTAAGCCATCTTTGCAGTCCTGAGATAAACTTAGTTTGGTCACTGTGGATTTATTTGTTGTTTTCACATTGTTAGATTTGCCTTGTTAATTTTACTTAGAATATTTTGCCTCAATGATTCATTTGAACTTTTCTATTTAACACTTTTCTTATCTGATTTTCGCATCAGAATCGTACTAGCTTAATAAAATGAGTTGGAGAAGTTTTAGTAGAACAGCCCTGGCAGGATTTTTGGTTGATACACTTTCCCCCCACATTTTATTATGACATTTTTAACATAGAAACAAGGTTTAAAGAATTAATGAGCTAGAGTGTGAACTAATAAATAAATGTAAATGAAGAAAATTATAAATGAGATGAAAAGGTGTGAAATAAAAAGGAGAAATGACCTAATTAGAGTGCAAAGGAGAGAACAGAAATTATAGAAAGACATTATTTGAAGGAAAGAATGGCTAAACATTTTTCAGAACTAATGGAGGACATCAGATTTAGTGTTAACAATGAATTACAAAGTAAATAAAAAAATACCTACACCTAGAAATACTGTAGAAAAATTGTATAAAACACAAATCTGTTTCCCAACTGAAGCTTAATATGCTTTTTCATTGATATAATTTTTCTTTTTACAAAGTGTCTATAGATGCACTTTCAAAGCAGCCTGATCATTTTTAATGGTCTCTTATTCCTTTTATAATTTAGATTTCCTTCTTTATCTTTAAAGTATTAAATCTAGTACTTTATATCTGATAATTACAATCTAAAATCCTTGGAGGTCTTATTCTACCATTTTGTTGTTGCTGTATTGTTATTAATGCTTTTCTGCTGTCCGTTGTTGGTAGTGGCTTATTGCTTTTTGATCTTTGTTCTTTAGTGTGGCTCATCTTTATCTTGGGGAATACTGGAGGGTGGCCTGGGTTGAGGTGGTATTCCTCCAGACAGTGTGGGTTTTGCTTATGTCAGATTTTCCACAACATTTACCAAACAGAACTATTTTAAATTAATTTATTGGCTTAAGATTTGCCAGACAAGGCATGTGGCAACATTTTTAAACACAAATTCGTGTATTAGAATGTATTGCAAATTTTCAAGTTATACTTTTTCAAACTCAGAGCATTCACTTTAAGAAAGGCAAGTTTCCCTATTGATTTTTCCAGCTGATGGATTTTTTCCTCACCCACCTATTTACTGACTCATCATCTTTCTGAGTCCAAGGTGATTTAACAACCATCTGTCTTCCATTAAATTCAAAGCTCAGGGTTCTGGTTTTGGCCATTTGCACCTCTTACTTCTACATGTACTTCCCACTCCTGTGTCAGCAAGTGAGGATTTCACTTACTTACTTATAAGCTTACCTACACAGTTGGATTTTTTTCCCCTCTAGCATTTCTTTGACTTTATGTTAAAAGGATTTTAGACTATACAGTTATCTGTATTGCAAGAAATAGAAGTTCCATGTTTTTTATCATCTTGAACATTGTTGCTCTAGATCAGGGGTGGGGAACCTTTTTTCTGCCAAGGGACACTGGATATGTATAACATTATTTGCTTAATACAATTGACTTAATATAAATTTATGTTGCTACGAAAAAAGCTCCTAAATTTATTGCATTTCAAGTCCCACCTGCAGTTGCCTTGGCAGGGCCTGACCAAATGATTTCACAGGCCTTACGCGGCCAGTGGGCCTGACGTTCCCCATCCTTGTCTAGATTTTAGAACTCAGTCGCAGATTTTTGTTGCTAGTTCTCTCCATTCAGCTAGGCTGCTGTGTCATTTTTAATAAATATATTTGTGGGGAAGGGATTTTTGTAGAAGAAAATAGTGATAATTTCTAATGTTTGAGATTATAAAAATTAATGGTATCTTTCTGTATCAGGTAGTAGAACTGCAGAATAGATTATCAGAAGAATCGAAGAAAGCAGATAAATTAGATTTTGAATATAAGCGGCTAAAAGAAAAAGTTGATAGTCTTCAAAAAGAAAAGGATGTGAGTATATATGTTAGGGATTTTGGTTTTAAGGATTACTAATATTAAAATGGATATTTAATTCATGCTTTGTGGTTAATTCCTTCTATTTATAAATTTAAAAATTTGAGATCCTATTTATTTTTAAGTTTAAACTTAAGATTCACATGTATATTTCAGAAATAGATCTAAAATAAAAGATTAAAAGAATGTTTTCACTTCTAATTTTATCTATACTTAATTATTCTACTGTTTTATATTGTTTTGCTCATGACTTTTTGTAAGTTTATGTAGAATTTTTGCTTTCTGTATGATTATTATAGAAGACACAATTCTTTTGGTTGTTATTCAGCATATTTTGAATCTTTTAAAAATATTTTCTCTAGCATGATTTTGATTATTTAAATTCTTTGATTTTTTTGTGTTTAGTAAAAAGAATGTTATGTACATAACGAGGTACTTATTCTTAAGGATGGTGTAGACAGTTGTGTTTCTTATGTTTAACTGTGGATAGCATATTGCCTTGCACATTGTAGATATTCAGTACTGTAAAGTGAGAAAAAATTATTGTAATCTTTTACCTTTGGTGATCCTTTCATAGTAGATCAAAACATCCATGTTCCCTACTATTTATCATTTTATTAGGGAAGGCAAAGACCACTAATGAATAAACTCATAAAACCTCCACTAACTTTCCTTGTTTTTAATCTCTCCAGAGGTTAAGAACAGAAAGGGATTCTCTGAAGGAAACCATTGAAGAACTTCGTTGTGTACAGGCTCAAGAAGGGCAGCTTACAACTCAAGGTAAAACCATTTCAGTAGCCCAAGCAAAATTACTTATTTCTAATACAGTATTAGTATAAATGATTAGATTCATTTAAGATGATTGGATCAATAGATAAAAATGAAAAATTGGTGAAGTGACCAATTGAAATGAAAAATTGTACAGATTTTAAACTGTTACATAGATATTGTGGCAAAAAGTCTATAGTTACGGAATCAAATTTACTTGCCTACTTTATATTTTAAGTATATTTAAATATTTGATTTTATTAGCTCAAAAGTATAAACGTGTTAAATCATCTCTGTTAATAATAAATCTAGAAAGTCTTATTCTGGAAAGGTCCTCATAACCTCTTTAAAAATATATCAAATTCACCCTAGCCAATTTTGCTCAGTGGTTGGAGCATTAGACCACTGATTGAAGGGTTTTGGGCCAAGGGTACAACCAATTGATGTGTCTCTCTCACATCAAAGTATCTTTCTCTCTGTCTCTCCCCCTCCCTTACACACTCTAAATATCAATAGAAAAAGATATCCTCAGGTGAGGATTAACATCATATATATATCAAACTCAAATTCAATGATTTGTTTTTCAACTGATATATGAAGTTGATTTTAACCCCTAGAGTGCCGGGGAGCACGATCCCGCTCCTCCTGTCTTTCGCCAAAAGTGCCGGGAGCGCTATCAAAGCTTCGAAATGGCGTCGAGTTCTGAGTCTGCTTTTATTAGTGATGATGATATTGCTAAATATGCCAATGTAGTAAAGGTTTCCTTAAGTTTTTGAATATGTAACTTCATTTACCGTATTTGCCGGCGTATAAGACGACCCCCTAACATTTCCACTCAAAATACAGAGTTTGTTATATACTTGCCGTATAAGACTACCCCCTCTTCCGCACACCTTCCACACACCAAATAAAAGGTAAAACAATATCAGATTTGATTTTAACATTTTAATTTATATTCTAATGCTTATGACATGCAGGAAAACTGTCACAAGGCTGTATGTAATCAAACATATCATAAAACAGTGCAAGTTTATTACCGGTAAACATACCGGTAATTCACTAAAGAAAACACACTCTATAGACTGGTACCGTAGATGCTTCTCAGGAACACAGGCAAGCAGCCCACAACCTAGAGGGACTGTCAATGATAGAAGAAAGAT